TTCAAGTCCTATTCTTTTTTTTTATATGTTTTCTTAGTAGAAAAGACTGATATTTGCAGCATGTATACTAGCCATCGAGATCTACTCTGCAATAGAATTTCAGCTTTCTACCTCTTACAGTTAGAGAGATTCAATTAACCTAAAATTAAAAGGAACTTTCGGATTTATCAGTGAGAATTTTTCCGCCATTTTATTAAGAATGCTGAATAGAAAACAATGGTTTTTAACGAGGTATACAATGCAAAATTCTTTTCGTATTATGAGACAAAAAAACTGCGTTAATGTTTAGGTATCTGCTCAGCATCTTAATCTATCTGTTCGTTTAATCGATTCGGTAATTTTTCGATCATTTTTCACATCTAATACAATTGATCGAAATTCTGTATTATTTTTGGAAATATTTAGTGTGATATAAGTATAAATCATCAAGTATAAATTTATATTGTTCTAGATATGTAAGTGCGGTTTTTTGTCTTTATTTGAAAACCGATAAATTTATTAAAAACTATAAAAATAATAAATCACTTCACTTAATAAAAGTTAATTTATCTGTTAATGTAACTCGTTCTTGAGTTTATTGTTTCTGCACGTTATGAGAATCACATAAAAGATGATTGTGTAATTTCTCTGTTTTAATATCCACATGGATAAATAATAGAACGCAGTAGTGATACAGAGAAAAATACAAGTCACTCGTGATGAGAGATTGATCGAATAACTCTAATATTTTCATACACACTGTTTGTGAAAAATAGATCGAAAAATTTCTAATAATTTTAGGTTACTTGTATCTCTCTAACTATAAGAGAAAGAAAGCTGAAATTCTATTGCACAATAGATCTAGATATCTAGTATATATGCTGCAAATATAAGCCTTTTCTACTAAGAAAGCATATAAAAGAATATGACTTGAAGAGGATCAGAACTTGTTACCCATACTTTATTGGAATATTTTTTTTTCTCAACAAACGAACAAATCGATTGATTCCAAGATGATTAATTCTTCTTATCATTATTGATTGTTGACTCACTCTTTTTCATGGATATCGCACTGTTCAAAGTAACCCTTTTAAAGAAGCAGAACGGACCGAATGATCATGACGCATGATAGATGGGTGAGAAGAGGGATATTAGGTGACAATCAACAAAATAGTCGTTTGACCTTTACTCACTTTGACATACTCACCCTTATGATTCCCTCGACTGAAGGAAGGGTCATATGAGATACAATAAAATGCGTTCGTATATTTATATGCTTGCATGCACATGTATAGTCACGTGTCTGCTTGTATTAGTTTAAGTTTACAAAAATTTTCAAGGTTATGACTGCATTATGCAATATTTTGAGTTAATCAAATGTTTTCGGTATCCAGATCTTCGTAGCCAATTTGAATCTATAAGCTGTTTTTGTATCTAAGCTTTCTCTTATCGATTTTTTTAGGTAGGAGTTTCAGCAGGTCACATACTTTTCCCTGTGTAATTTTGATTTAATCAGAGTTTTCATGTTTGAAAGTGAGTGAGGCAGATCTGTTCACTTTGCATGTCTCGTGGATGTTTTTTTCTTTGTTTAGGTTGAATAATCAGTTGCTTGTTCTCACTGATCTTTGATAATTGTGTGACACAGTGTACTCTATTGTAGAAATGGTTTCATAATAGTCCTAATATTTTCAATTTTCATATGAGAATCCCGTGCCCAATGATGCAGAAATTTTCTGTAAGGGACCAAAATATTACTCGGTTAGATTGTAAATAAAAGTAGATGCTATTTTGGATAAGTAGAGTTAGTCGTTAAAAACCGAATGTTCCCTTCAAGGAACATTGCAGCTATTGTTATTCAATACTTGATAAAACTTCATATACCAAAGTCAGTCTATTCTTAGATGAAGATGATTTTATAAATCATAAAGTAGAACCATATATCTTTCACTCGACCGTCAGATAGTATAGCAGAGTTTTTAACGCCGATAATCTAAAAAAACTTCGTTATTACTCTAAGAACGTTATTTACTCATAATTATTTCGTTTTATAAAAGTGACATCGCTTAGCATAACGTCAAGTTATCTAATGACACCGTTCGGTAATATTTTCAACGACCTACTGGCTTATTTTGATATTTAAGAAAGTATCCCTTGAAAGAGACATTTGGTCATAATGGCATACAAGGTTCTATTAATCTATGAATAACGAAAGAAGTATTTGAAGTACTACTTCAATCTTAAAGAATCCCCGATTATCCAACAGCTTCATGTCGTCTACGACAGAGTTACTGATTTCATTCCCATTTTGAAGACTTTATGATTGTCTTTGTTCTACTTCTGGAGAGTATTCAATAACCATTGCGTCGGTGAACTGAGACCACTAGCGAAATTATGCAATGATGTATTTGTCCGCCATAAGATTGAGATCACAGTACTTGCTTGAGTTCCAAGGGTAGTGTCATGATGGAATGGAAAGTGCAAAAATGTTTGAATATTGCAAATATTTTATTCAGTTTGTCCACAATATTATATGAAATAATTAAACACAATTATCAATGAGAAAAAGTTTCTCGTATCAATTAAGCAAAGCGATACATGTATGTCGTTTGTAATGGATGTCTCTTGAAAATAACACTCGGTATCTCTATAAGAGAAAAATAGTACTTTGTGATAACCATAATAGGATCAGATTGAATATGCAGAACTTCTATTGTAGCGGTGTGTTTTTACTCATCGTTCAAAACAATCACCCGTGAGATGTAAGTGGAAATCTACCTAGTAATACAATTACTAGCTAGTTATTGAAATATATTTAATGATTTTCCATGATTACCAACAGATTTTATTAAAGTTTATAAATGGCATATTGTTCGAATCAATGACAGTTTCTTTTTTGAATCGTTTCGGCTAATTTTTCTTGTGTTATATTAGTATTTCGTTCATTATTATCATCATTTTCTATTTTTCCATTTTTAGCAGTTAATACTTCATTGTCCCACTTATCAATTATTAAATCTTGATCTTCTCCAGCTTCACCAGTGTCGTTTACAAGAGAATACTATGCGACAAATTAGTAATAGATTTAAGTAAAATATGGCCTATTGTAATATGAGAAAGGTATGTAATTCTGTAACACTTGAAGTATGAAAAAGTTCCAATGTTATGTGATCAACCCTTTTTTGGTTTCTTCTCACCATAGCCTTCATTAAAAGAATTACATCCAGATGATTCATCTTCACTTTCATCGTTACGTTTGTTCTACAAATCGTCTGCATTGAGTGGTATTAGGATACCAATTGAATCATCAGCATTAGGAACATTTTGATTTGATTCCCCTTGGTTTTTTTGTATATCTTTCATAAAAAAAGACGATTACATGCTGTTAAATGTGTTCAGTGAACCAAACACCAGAATAGATCAATATTTGTAAACATCTGAAAAGCTTTTTGCATGTTGGTAACATCATCACAATTTACAGAAGTAACTCAATTTTGACTATCTAAATCACGAAGACGATTATGAACTTCGATGGCTATATTTAAAGCTGGATGACGTTGCGTAAAGAGTTAAAACCGCAATATTGTCGAATTTAATTTCAAATCATCATGCAACCAATGTCTAGTAATATGAAAGAAAGAATATTCATGTTAATCAGACCAATAATCTGATGTTAAGGCTACAAGCTTAACAGTCTTTAATGTATTGTGCTTTTGTGATTAGAGTTGTAGAGGTGTGTCAGAACACAGGCTTCGTCCACATCTACATCCATATCCTTGTCTCTTAAGAAACAAGTAAGCCAGAAAAGCATAATTTTTTTTTCGCGACTTAAATAGGAAACTGGCTGTTCTTATTTTCTTTTTAATCTTTAAGAATCAATAAATGTAACCATGTAAATCCACTAGCGAATGCATAAAAAAGAGGTGGTGGGTGGGACAGTTTCAATCTGAATCTTTTTTCAACAAACTGATACGTATACCGACACGGCCAGATTTTTTTCATAAGATAATGTTTATTACATGAAAGAAAAAGAGATTGTCGGCAACAACAGTCGCTTACACTTCCTCTCTGCATACATTTCTTTTGCATAGGTCAATGATAATTGAATTTTGTACACTGAAATGGTAAATCGCCTATATAAATCAATCTGTTTTCTTTTTTGCATGGTAATCGATACTCTCACCCTTTATATAATGTCCTTGTTAAATTGACACAAAAAAAAAGAAAGTCAAAAAGATATAAATAGCAATAAAAAGAAAGTTCAGTCCTCGAAGTTATTTGAAATTAGTGAAAAAATATATGTATAAACTGTAAACGATTTAACCACAACGCATCTCCATAAACGCTTCAAAAGGTAAAACAAATTTAGAGACTACATATTACCATTAAAATAAGTAACTCAAGGATAAATCTACATGAAATATACCGTGATTACATCAATCTCTAGTGTCAGCGACGAGATACAAATTTCTACATGCAGTTTTGAATGTAGATTCAATTGGTAGAATTCTCAACTCTCTATTCTTCTTCTAAGAAACAACTTATACTCATTTTATAACGTCAGCGACAAGTAGACCTTTTCCTGATTTTCAAGTGAAAATGGCCTCTATTAGAAAGCTTGTAGAATTTCAGTTCTTAGCCCAGAACCTTAATTTCGGTCGTCTCTTTAAGTGACAGAATTATTATTGCAATCTTGAAGGTTTTTAATAATCCTTATTTTGAAAATTCTATAAGTCGATTGAATTCCAATCTGTGAGATTAAATCTCTTTTTTCTACAATTCTTACAATTTTTTAGTCTAGAGTTGAATGAATAGAGGCAAATTCTGTGTTAAAAATGTTCATGTAATTCAGAGTTTTAGTGCTCCTGTGAATCATCGCAAATAGTTCACACTGTTTGCAAAGTCAAAGTGTAATACCATAGTATAATATAAGGTACTCGTAAGAAAGAAAGTAGATTTTTATCCAAAACTTAACAATCTATTGCTCCAACATTTTTTAAGGTTGTTTTATTATCAATATAGATATGGCTAAACCTGCATGGATTTATGCAGATTCTACAGTTCAACATCGAGCTGGAACAGAAGCGATGTTACAAAATGAAGACTTGAAAGTTGTTGAATCTGAACGACGTCTCTGGGGCACTTGGAACTATGTTGCATTCTGGCTGTCAGATGCTATAAATATCAGTACATGGATGGTTATAAGTGCCATCATCGGAGATTTGTCTTGGTGGGAAGCATGGCTCTGTGTTTGGATTGGATATACGATTATTGCCGTATTTCTCTGTATTTCAGGCAAAACTGGTGCTGTTCATCATATATCATTTCCGGTTATTGGGCGTGCATCATTCGGCATCTTCGGTAGCCTATGGCCAATTTTAAATCGAGGTATAATGTCCTGTGTTTGGTATGGAGTACAGGCATGGATCGGTGGACAGTGTGTCATCATTTGTATTCGTGCAGTCGTGCCATCATTTCAATATCTACAAAACACATTTTCCACATCGTCGGGTACTAATACACGTGACTTTATTGGATTTATGATCTTTTGGTCGCTATCAAATATTGCCATATGGTTTCCAGCACAAAAGATGCGTCATTTATTTACAGCAAAATCAATTGTTGTTCCAATCGCCGGTCTACTCTTCTTTACATGGGTTGTTCTGAGAGCTAAAGGCATTGGACCAGTTCTTTATCAATCAACAATTCTGCCTACAACAAGTAGTGTTCGTTGATGGGCATGGGTTTCAGCAATAATGAGTTGCATTTCTAGTTTTGTCTCAATGATTGTTAATAATTCTGATTATACTCGGTTTGCCAGTCAACCATCAGTTATATTTTGGCCACAAATGATTGCCATTCCCTTAGGATTTTCCTTAACTAGTTTCATCGGTCTTATCGTTGGGTCATCATCAAAAGTTATCTATGGTAAAGAAATATGGAATCCATTAGAACTGTTGAATACATTTCTCGACAATATGCCATCGTCAGCTACACGTGTCGGTGTATTTTTTATTTCACTTTCATTCTGTTTAGCACAATTAGGTGTAAACATTGCTGCTAACAGTATTTCCGCCGGATGTGATTTAACAGCTATTTGTCCGAAATATTTAAACATGAGACGATCCGGTTATATCTGTTCTATAGTTGGTCTTTGCATCTGTCCGTGGCAATTACTTTCGAATTCTTCATCGTTTATCTCTTACTTGTCCGCTTACTCAACATTTGTCAGTGCAATTGCTGGTGTAATGTTCTCTGATTACTATTTCGTTCGACGTCAGCATTTGGATATGAACGAACTCTATTCAGCTTCGTCAGAAGGCCTGTACTACTATACGTTTGGCATTAATTGGCGGGCATCATTGCTTACATTGCTGGAATATTAATTAATGTTGTTGGTTTTGCTGGTGCAGTCGGTGCACATGTTCCATCGGCTGTGAAGAAAATGTATCAATTGAATTTTTTCTTAGGTATTATTATTAGTAGTGGTGTGTACTATGTACTTCATAAACTATCGCCTGTTAAAATTTACTTGAACAAAGAAGAAAAACTGCCCAACACTGAAGTTAAAACAGACAAACATGTCGAAGTGCTCGATCTAATGCAGATGACAATGATGTGAAGGGACTAATGAAATGCGTTTTCTGTATCGAAAAAAATCATTTTAGGTAGAAGAGATAATTAATAAATTAAAAATGATTCTTCTAAATTTGAAGTTTCTAGACGAATTAAACTTCTGTCAGAAGATTCTGTGATTGTTTGTTTTACAATAATTCTTTAGTGTCTAAATATATAAAGGACTCACTAACTTTGATAGAGTCTAGAATAAAATCTCTTTCCTATAGTACAAGAATACCTTCCCTATCTTTCAGAAAAGAGTGAGCGAATCCCTCTGTTAATGAGCACCATGTTGTTATTTGTCAATGTCTATATTTTGATGGATGTTTTAATTGGAATGCATTACTAAATGATGTGAACAAACACTATTCATGTATAAACGTGAATAATAACGGACAAAACAGATAAAAATAATAATTGAATGAACAATATTATCTTTTCAAACAAGCGATAACTGTTTTTTAACACTGTTCGATGTGTCTATTTTGTGTTTATTAAAGAATGATACGGTTAGGATCGAAGAATTCAAATTGTTCCCCGTTATATTCTTGCAACATCTGCGAGTAATTACGATATCTCATATATATGACTTCACACAGAAGAATTCTGCCAAAATCTAACAAAAATCTTAATTACACTTCAGCTTATATTGAAACATGTACTTTATCGCAATATTTTAACCCTTTTCGTTTGCTGACTTCTACGCAAAATTTAACTTAATAAATTGCTCTTTCTTGTTTGGACTAAACTCATCAATTCATGCTAACTGAAACGAATCGCTTTAAGTATCAAAAAGATAAATCAAATTAAATGATTGAATAATCGATTGAGATTATATAGTAGAAATATTCTATACTGATGCTTCCGTGAGACATTATTTCGAATAGTTGATTATGCGATATATACTAATCTGCACTCGTACTGTCAGAGACTCCATGAAAATGCAGCCAAATTTATTAAATATTATCGTTTTTTAATATCCGTATAAAGGGCAAAATAAACGATATAGTTAGCGGGCGAAAATTTTTTTGTCGACTAAATGGTTTTGATTTTTTCAGAACTATCCAAGTCATTGACTTTTTTTTTGGTAAAAATTCTGAAAATAACTACCCTATTGAACTTTTTGCAGTTTTTACTTTAAAGGTTACATCAAGTTCGAAAGCGATTTTATGCGTACTATTTTATTTTTATTTAGCATATAGAGACACAAGAAAAAATTAGATCTTATATTTAATAGTCTCATATCTGATAGATGTCTCTTAAATAGATTTGATGCTCAGTTACACTTTGTTTTTCAATATAAAAGTCCGTATTCATGAAAGGTCTTAGCTAGAAGTATATTTATTTTTTTTTGTTGTAGATTTTCTGAGTAAACAATTCTAATCAAATGGTTCTTGAAACAATATTATAGAAAAAAATCAAGCAAACTTTTTCATCAATGTCATAGTAAATATATCTTCTGACAGTATTTCTACTATTTTAGTCTGTGTAGGGTGTATTGTTGTCTTTTTAGAAGTGCAATTTGATTTCATTTTATTATTTCTCATATAAATAAACAAATACGTTTTAGTATAAAACAATAAGCCCGATCCGATAAAAATAATTTCATATTTTAAAGAAAGATGAAATCATTTTTACATAATAATTAACAATCAATTAATTTCTCCTTGTTTCTTCGTTCATTAGCTTTATTTTTATGATATATTGAGAATTGATAAATATTATCGGACAGTATGACATGTTATAATGTGTAGAGAAATAACAAAGCAGTACTTGATCAACTTAGGGATCGATAGGGTTGATTCCTTGTGAAGTAGTTATTATTTTATCTATTATGATGGATTATTTAATATATTCTATCTGTAAGGAAATCTTTTAATTAGGGATTTTGTCATATAAATAACTTTATCATCGAAATAATAATGAAATATACGAAAAAATCTGTATAGACAACTATGTTAATTCGTATCAAAATATATTTATCAAGTTTTTCTTTAGTGAGATCAACCATAATAATCGAATTTACTTTGATTATTCCTATGAAAAAATTAACTTGTACTACTACGCAAAAAAAATTTTCCTTTTCAATGAATCGAAGGAGATGTATTGGAATATTCGACGGTAATGCTATTTATGGTTGACCTTGCATAGAAACAAATGTTTCGAGATCTTGCGTAAGACTTTTTCATGGATACAGGGTGTCCCATAAGTTGTGGCAGATTTTTTTAAATCTAATTTTTGATAATAATGAATACAAAACAAACTCAAACTTACACGTATCATACAACTTAACATGTACTTTTATTTCATATATTTTATTTGGATTAAATCATTGAATATACAAAAAAATAAAGAAATTGGTACATGTGCAGAATAAGCACACCATCAATATGTTACAATATATATACCCCGACAAAAAAGCTTCACTCTGTATTTCTCATATATTGTCACTATAAAAATAAGTTATTTTGAAACTAATTACGTAATCTGAAAGCCCGCGGAGTTTTCTATCACTCTGTAGAATTAGGTTTTAGTTTTGACCTTTTCATTACCAAAATAAATTGAAGACAACGAAGGCACTCTCATTTCCAGATTCCCAGACTTGATCTTTTCTTCGTCATCAAAACTAGTTTTAAAAATTTTTCATCCGTATAGAATGACCTTTTTGAGAAAGTAACTGTAGATACTGATACAGCTTAAAATTCTCTATCACCCTGTCTATTTACTTATCTTCTTGCATTCATAGATTGAAATAAAATTGAATACAATGAATATACTCCGAATCGACTAGCCCAAAAAATTTGCATTTTTTTCGCTACTTAAATTTTAGACACTGTATTAATACATAATATCATAGAGCATTTCAAGTGCTATCAGAATGTGTGATTTCTTTTGTAAAAACTTACTCCCATAGGAATAGTAATTGGAGAAAAAACTAACAAAGTAGCGAAAAAATGCAGACTTTTGATATTTGTCAATTGAGGGTATGTTCATTGAATTTGTTTATTTTCTTGTATATTCAATGATCTAATCCAAATAAAATATATGAAATAAAAGTACATGTTAAGCCGTATCATATGTGTAAGTTTGAGTTTAATTTGTATTCATTATCATCAAAACTTAGATTTAAAAAAATCTACCACAATTTATGGGACACCCTGTACCATCTATAGATAGTCACCGTAAGCGGTATTCCTATAGTAGGTATTCCACCGGTAACATTATAGCTGGTGTTCGCTCTCATGAAAAGTGTTCCACTATGTGATATTATAATATCATATGATGGAACACTTTTCATGAGGGGGAACACTTGCTATAGGAATACGCAGTAAGCGATACCAGTTTATGACGAAAAAATACTTTCGTTTATATTTCTATTTTTTGAAGTGTCATAGAAATGATATGAATAAATATTCAAAATTGTAAATATGATCATTTTTTTCTCTTGAATAATAAAATTAAATGATAATTGAAACAGATCAAGTTTCTATTAGAAGCACCAAATTGAATATTTGATTGTGATTATTCATCGTGTATCATTATATTAACTTGTTTGTTAATGGATACTCGCATAGCTTCTTATTCGATATGTTGGGAACGAATAGCATATCTCATTACAAATGATAAAATTTATGTTTGCATTTCTCCATTTTCATGATAAATGCAAATATAAAAATTTTTTTCTTGTTTTCAATGCATATTGATGAACTTGAATATCCATGTATAAAATAATCATCAAGAAAGACAACAATTTCAAATTTGAAATTTTAGAGAATTATTTCATACAGTTAATCTGTTTTCTTTTTCATTCATAAAACTGCAGAAAGTTAATGGATGTTTAAATTGTTCACATTAATTTGAGAAAATCAAACGATTTTTGCTTCACATTAATAAAAAGATCTTGTATTTCATACAAAAATCATTTTTTTTAAAGCAACATTTCCTTCTATTTGATTAGTATGTGCCTCTTTGGTAAAGAAAAAACTTTGACTATTACGAATAAAACATCAAATATTTTGTTTGTTTCTTTTGCAGCTGCTGAAATAAAAATTCGGATAGTTTTATTTCGTATTTCTATTTGATAGTGAAGTATGTTTACTTACGAAAATGAGGTAAAGGAGACATTTTCGGGATATTTGCCAGTCTTACACGTGGCTGTATACGTAGGAGCAAATATACACAAACTTATTTTATTTTCTATGAGGCTTTCTTCAGCACAGGTAACAAATAGTAGATCGTAAAAAAATGTGTGTTAGTGGAGAGTCGAGTAAGGCCATGTTAGAAAAAAAAGTAACTCGAAGGTATGCAGAAAGAGAACGACAAAAAACGCATCAGCATTATGCAGGTAAATATTCAGAAGGACAGAAAAAAGGCTAGTATGGCACACTATTTATTTGTGTGTATGTAAATACGTATTACACACGTTGATCTTTGTAAAGAAGAAAACGAAAAAAGCCTTGAATAAGTGACAACAGCTATCATCATAATAAAAAGAAAAAATGGGAAAGCTTGACGGAAAAATTGCTCTCATCACGGGTGGTTCCAAGGGTATTGGTCTGGCCACTGCTCAACGATTCGTCGCTGAAGGTGCAGAGCATGTCTTCATTACTGGGCGAGGACAAGAAGCACTCGACGACGCTGTCAAAACAATCGGTACCAGAAATGTGACCGCAGTACAGGGTGATACGTCTAATATGGCTGATCTCGACAAGCTATACAGTGTAATTCAGAAAGAGAAGGGTCGTTTAGACATTCTCTTTGCCAACGCAGGTACCGGCAAGGTTGCAACATTGGGTTCCATCACCGAAAAACAATTTGATGATGAGTTTAACGTCAATGTGAAAGGAGTATTATTCACCGTTCAAAAAGCTTTGCCATTATTCGCAGACGGAGGATCGATCATTCTGAATACATCTGTCTGCACCGTCAAGGGATATCCAGGTATGAGCGTCTACAGTGCTGCAAAGGCGGCCGTTCGCTCTTTCGCTCGCTGTTGGACAGTTGATTTAAAGGAACGGAAGATTCGAGTGAATGCTCTGAGTCCAGGACCGATCGATACACCTGGAGCAAAACGCTTCAGAAGCATTGGGTCAGACAACAATAAGTTGGTCGACAATATAATAGATGCTACGATAATGAAGCGCTTTGGCATGCCTGATGAAGTTGCGAAAGCTGTGGTTTTTCTTGCTTCGAACGACAGTAGTTATGTGACAGGCATCGAACTTTTTGTTGATGGAGGCACGGCACAAATCTGAATTTTTTTTTTCGTATACTTAACTTGATAATAAAATATGGTCAAATTGAAACGAGAGTTGCCAATGGAGAACGGATGAATAGATCCAGAAAAATATCACTACCTCAAATCCTGTGAATAATTTATCACGCTCTCCCTTAGTTACTTCATGAAGATTTTGGGTGTGGATTTGGATAGGAAAGAAACAAATGAGGAACCATACCCTACTTTTGTTCTCTATTTTCTTGTCAAATAGTCTTATAGCAATTACTATGTACATCAATACAAGTCACTATAAATCAATATTTCAATGGAGAGATTGAATTCAATATTTTGTAAAAGCTTCCATGAATAGTTCTTACTAGATTTGGAAAAGTTAAAAGATTTTTTTTCGAAAACTCATGTAGAATTAAACAACAAATGTTACTTTTTTTTCATAGACTTTAATCAAATCTATAATCGTGAATATGCTGTTAGCTTCTACAATATGAATTTTTGCAGTTACTTCCAACAATATTTCAATTTCTGTTAGTTTAACAGATTGTTTTGTAAGATGAATTTATGCTCGTTTTTTCAATGCTCGATGCATTTAATGTACGTTTATTATTGTATCGATATATATCTACATATCGTTCTTTTTGTAATTAAGTATTTGCTCAAGATCAATACGATCTTATTCTTCTGCTATCTAAAGCTTC